TACACAGCGTGTCGTAGTATGACCTGATCAGATTTTTAAGTTAAAGATTCGGTAAGAGACATATATATATATCAGCGGCTAACAGGTACAAATGGGTAAATGCTTATTTACGTGTGCACAAGCGAAACTTGCAAGCAAATTAAACCTTCGCGACAAGCTGCGGCGTTTCTGGTTAGCTTTACGGCTTTTAGTGTTCTGACCATCTAACAGCACCATTTCAGCTTGTTCTGCCCAAAGATGGAACCAGTTACTAAAAACATTTCTATCATAGTAGACCGGTCAGTGACACAATTACGGGTGAGAAAATATTAAAGCTGCTCTTTGACAGAGCTCTACTTCTCAAACGGCTTACTTGTGACAGTTGTCTCAGATCGGAAATATTTCGTGAATATGTCAACGGGGCACTTGATGAAGCAGAATATGTATAAAAAGTCCTGTGAATCTTGTTGAAGCGTTCACTGCCATTGTTATCACAAATACAAACAATGATGCATGTCTATCCGGCACCGCGATTACTGTGCACAAAATGCTTCGCAGAATATGCTCCATCATGCAATCGATACGTTCTGTTTGATCATAAACCTGCAGATGATTTGCTTCTATCATAGTCTACATGATGCCAAGCACATTGAACAAACTGTAAGCCATAGAAGTCGGTCTTATCAAGGAAGGTGTTACCAATACTGATCGGCTTGGTGGCACCAGTCCGGCTACACATCATGGCAAAATCGACAACGACTCTATTTGAATATTTGTAGCACCCCGCGCCAAGTGTGGGATCCTATAGCTAAAATTTAGGATCTGCGTAGCACCATAGAGGTATGGATGCCAGAGGCAGACCAAACATACATGAATTCGTTGTGAGTGATAAAAAAAAATGGTGTAGAACCACCTAAAGGTGCAGTTTCTGCGAAGTTCAATAAAAAAGCAGCTTCAGATTGTATAGCGCGTAGCTATCAATGGATTGGTGTACATTTCAACGTTTCTAAGGAAGCACGAACGCATTCCGAATTTTACGTTGATTTTAGCACAAGTCCGTTCTCAAGAGCCACTTGGACGCGACTTGTTTGTTGACGCCAAATCAACGTCTCAGCCCCGCGGCTGATAAATCACTAGCTCTAGAGCAGCAATTTAGTCCCTAGGGGCTCCTAAGGTTATGATGAGTGCATTAACAGGATGATTATTTCCCGAAATAGCGCACGCCATACTCTCGGAGAGGTTCAACGCGTGGCTCAAGCCCAGAAAACACACGATAGACTGCTACGTAAGGATCGGCTCTTGCCAGGGGTCGTTACTCCCTTCACAGTATGGATTAAGTGTGTTGTGCGCAACTTACTAGAGCGAAAGCAAGATGGGGTCTAATGAATGCGTATGCCATTAGCCGGGGAGCACTCTTTTCGTATAGCTTTACGTTTAAGAGAAGTTTTTGGGTCATAAATTAGAAATAACTACGGTTGTTCTCATTTAAGAACCAATCGCTCAAGTGACATTTGGCCCTGAATGCTGACTCATCAATCCAAATGATATAAAGGAAGGTAGCCAGGGAACTCCGGGCTCAATCGAGTAGTGTTCAGTGTAGACGCAATGTTTTAGTATGAAGCTAAACGATTGTGATTCCAGTGGTGTTTCCAGTTTTGTGCAGCAGTGTATATACCCTATCAGAAGTACGTACAAATTACATTTTTGTCCCTCGGATTCTGAACGCGGAAAATATTCTATTAGTTTACAGTACGGTTGTACTTTAGGGAAATGGGGTCCGTGTGATGCATGAACTACTAGCCTTACTTCGTGCGTTTAATGAGTTTGAGATGTATAAATACTAAAGCAATAGTCATGAGTATCATTTTACGCTCAACTCGATTTGCAAAAGAGCTTTCGAATTCTAGCGGGAAAGACTCAGCGTATTTAAGCGCGAACTCTGAAAGCGAAGCCTCCTATGAGCAAATTCGCGCCGACCTCATTTTCACGTTAAACTAAGCCATAGCAGCGTTACGTTCTTAACGTTTTGACACTTTGACGAATCTTCTTCCGCTTATATGAACTCTGCAAGTGAATTATCGTATTAGCAGCAATCTTGGACGTCTAGTCTCGGACTATTTGCTCTTTCTCTGGTGGAATTGAGAGTCAAAAATGCTTTTCAGTCAATTTTGGGCAAACAGTGCTGAAAAGAAAGTCAGCAAGTCATGCTAGACTAGTTATCCAGCTGCTTTTTGTCGATCAGAATGCTCTTTTCTCCGAAGCATTTTAGGCCTTTGTACGTGTTTTAGCCACGAAGTTAAAATATACTTTACCAAGCACAGCTCAATTACTTTGAATTGAGACATATTTTGCGCTCTTTTGTACCTAGTTTATTATTACTTTACTTTTGCTAAAGAGTAAAGATTTCACACTTTTCATTGGCCCAGCTTCTTCGTTAGCGCATCAACCATCAAATCGCTCATGTTTTCTTAAACGACATTTTCTATCTTCGTCGCAGACATAATGATAACTTATACTATGCATGTAAGCGACAATGATTTCAAATATCTGCGATTATCCACAAAGGAGTCTAAGCTGGGGATCGACCATTATAACAGTAATTTGAGTTACATCGCTATCTTACATACTTGCTGGCAGCCACTAGCTTTGCTTAGCTGTATTTCTAATGACATAATTAGCTCTGACATTTTTACGAGTATTCCATCGAGAACGAGTGCTGTGCTTTGGTGGCTACCGACATAAGCAGATATTTTAAACTGGTCAATACAAACATCGTCATCAATAGATTAATTATACGGCGCTGTTGCCAATGGGTCGATTTGAGTCATTCAGGACATAAGAGGTGCCAAAAATCTCGATTTGGTGTGAATAATAGATGTTTTGTATAATCATGGGCCAGACAAATGTCCAGGAACATGGTCCAGAGGGGGTATCACTAGGCATCTATAAAATGCAACATCATTTCTCATGTATGTTACTACTACAGGATTGATCTATAATCTAGAAGACTGATATGACGGGTCTTGACTAGGACTTGTCGGAAGTGTCGGGATAGTTTGAATATCTAGCCGGCATAAATGCACCAATAGATCGCAATGTGCCTCTTGAGGGGCATGATGACCAATTGTGAGCTCCCGTCAGCGCAAAAGTCTCAACCAAAAACTGCTGAAAATATCTCGCGCTTGCATGTCGGTGCCGAACACTCTGACCTCAGGCGTTTGTTGAATTCTAGCCAGACGCAGTCGTGTCTTCTCCCATCTTCAAATATTTTTTGAGTTTCAGACAGCACGTATCCAGTCATAAAGTATCTGGTTCTTGCATATTTACAAGGCGGATCTTTTGACTTATAATTCAACATTAAAAAAGACGTTTGCACGAGTAAAATTCATATGCATGGTCAGTATTTAGGCAAAAAATTGACGACATTGTTTGATAGTTGCTCACAATTTCAGCTTGAGGAGCACGTCGGTTGCAAGTGCACGGACCAGGTCTTGCTCTTAATGTTCTGATATGCTAAGAGCCTTTTAAGAGACACTGCAAGGAGCTGTACGACGGCTTTTAACCTTCCTGAGCCGCTTAATGATTGCTCCCTCAAGCATTTAAAGCTCACAAAGCCCATGAGACGTTCATTCGCAATTCTATCATTCTGACCTTCTTAGTCATATTTAATCGACATGTATTATATATTCTTACCGAGGTTTTGATTTTGGTGGAGTTTGACAATTTTGGTTGTGCGGTTCAAGTGTGGTTTGTGACAAAAATGTGTCAAGAATTTACTTCGCTATACAATCTGATGCATTCTGCATAAGTACGCCTTAGCCATATTGACTGTCATTTGGGCTACCACGATATGGCGTTGCCATCAAGGAACCGGCCTCGCCAGTCGTCGAATAATGCGTGTCAAGATGTACCAGCGGATTTCACCAGCGCTTGCTACACTCCCATAATAATATTCCCCAGGATCAGTTTGTTTTCAAATACGTTAGAAATTCTATCAATCACTTACAGAATGTGACCGCTTGATCGCATTATGCACGTTGATCGGTCGTGTGCACGTCTTGATGTACATCAAAGCGCCAGAAAGCTCACGATACAAGAAATTCAGTTTTATTTGCTCGGAGGTCTATATGCTTTAAATTCCCGTTCATTATGCCCGTTAGCTTACCTGCACCAGATTCGTACAAAAATCGCTTTACGCTGCTGTTTTGTTCAAACATCATCATTTTCAAGCTAGAAATAGCTTTATATATTAAGGGACGCCTGCATTTGATTACCTTACCCAGATTTCTATCAATCCAGTTTGGGTCGTAATCTTACTGGAGAGGATGAGGGCGTCAATGTCGGTCACAATGATGCTGCGATTGTTTTTGGCTGCTGAAAAGCCAAACAATTTTTACCAGAAATCCATCAAAGACTCGTTTTTTGTTAGTTCTGACCCAATTTGCTGTTTTGGCTCTATATCACCAGCTTCGTACAGTAGAACTACTTTTAGATTGTCTATCGAAGTCCTTTGTTTGCTTCACACGATCACACTGCCAACTTCGTCTAAACATTCACCTAAGAGAAAGCCGAGTCAGCGTCGATATTTTTTGACGCCGAGTCTTCTGCCCAGCGGGCAACTCCAAGTTGGTCACTTTTTTTCGTAATAGCGCAAGATTCTCGCTTAGGTTGATGATCACAAGTTGCGTGAATATTTTCTCCTCAAGCCGTACCATACACATAATAAACTTATTGCGTGCGTCGCCCTGAATTGAGAAAATCACATTGCTGCGATAAGCTCTCATTCTTGGCTGCTTGTTGTAACGGGGTCGCCATGCACCTTGCACAAAAGGGGGTTCTGATTCAAAAAGCTTGTGTAGCAAAAGTATCGAGATTGAATTCGAGCGCTTCACCCAGGGGTTCAGGCAGGAGCTTCTAGATAAACTAAATATCTAGATTGCTATTCCTATTCAAGAATTATCATGCGTTTCAATTGTTACATAATAAAGTAGAGCTTAATATATGCGTATCACTACCTTGATATAAAATTTATGCACTGCATAGACTGAAGCCAGAATTCCACGTGTCCCACGTGTCCCTCGGTCCCCTCCTTTCCAAAGTACCTTTTCCCTCTTTTGCACCTACTTCGTCATTGTACAATATTTGGGTATGATTTTGACTCCAAGTATGTGAGACAATCGTATAGATCGTAAGTTGAACATGACACGGTACGTATCTTGTATACCCCCCTAAAGATTGTGATGCGCTAGAAACACGCACGTTTTGTCTTTTGAGAACATTGAACAACACCGAATGATCCGCGAGCACACACTACGCCAGAAATTTTCTTCTTTCACTAAACCCATCATTGCTTAATCGATCAAGCTAAACTCAAAGCGGGGGTTCTCTTTCTTATTTAACCGTATAACCCAATGATCTACTAGTAAAATTATGGCTTTCGCAACTGACGATGTTTAGGCTTTATTCGGTGAGGCAGTCGAGGCGCTATGGTGAGATCGGTCGTAGACTAGACGATCACTTATTAGCCCTCAGGACACCACTCCCGAGGATACCGCTGTTGCTAGAGCAAACTCTTCATGAGGGTTGTATATTTGATGCTGAGAGCTGGTCGCTTAATTGCCTCTCTCACTGCGCACTGGGTGGATAAAGCATGGGGCTCACCACGGAGGTGCATATTTACTCTCGAGGTTTTTGCTGTCAACAGCCTTACTTATTTCAATAAGTATTCTGTTGCAGCTATCGGCCAAGTGTTGGACTATGAAACAAAGCTGAGCGCAACCCACTTTAACAGTGCGATGCAATAGACAATTGAGTACATAGTGGGAAAAATGCGCCGCCTATCCTGGCTTTAGGCTTTCCAAGCCAGCACGTCCGCCTACATACTTTGTCCTCCCGGTGCGATACGCTCAGAGGGCGCTTGGCTGTAGCAACAATGGAATTAATTCAATTATGTCGAAGTTGGACCGCAGACTTTCATGTGTTCTCCTGGCATTTCACTATGTCATATACTGTCTTCAGCACTCAAACACAAGCCGCTTAAAACCGTTCCATACGAAAATCTTTTGAGTGGCGTAGTACCGATGGCGATCGAGCGTTGGTCTAGTTTTTGCGAGCTCACTTGGACTTGGGGTACGCCGAATCTAACATTGTTTAATCTTTGGATGCGCCCGCTAGTGTTCGTCATCGTACAAGGTATCCACGAAGTTTAAAGCCGCATCTCTTTCTAGCGTAGTAGGTAGCTTCAACAATAGGATTAAATTTAGACATCATTCAACAGATCAAACGCATCCAACACCGCCGTGATATAGCCATCACTGAGCCGTATGTTTTTTTCAGCTGATAGAGCCGAACTCCCATTGAGAGATACCACCTTTCAATTAGTGCCGTAATACGGCAGACTTTTAGGCAAGTAATAGTGATGCGAGCAAACTATTAACACTATAGCACATCAGTTTTTTATTACAGTCTACAATGCAGCCTTTTCTGTCTAACATTTATATCGCCTGACATCATTTTACGGTGGTTCGTGAGATGCCATGCCATGTCGGCTAAAGTTGCACTGTATTCATGCAATAAGTTGGCCAGGCCAAAATACTATCTCAGACCCAATTGGGACAGCGGCACAAGATGACCAGACGGCCTCAAATCTCGTGGGATCTACCGCATGCCATAATTTCGACGAACTATCCAGGAGTAATTTCATTGGCGCAAGCTTGTCTATGCCAGCCAATGTATTCATACACACAAGCAATGCTCTTAAGAGCTTGACACAGCTTTTCACACACCATTTCCTGCGCTCTACCTAATCATTATTGAATGTGTAGCCGTCATAGGATTGTACACACGCACAATGTGGCATATACAGCACTGTTGAGCGTGGCTGGCGCGTCAATCAATGGCTGGAGTATAGCTAGCCATTCTTATAGTATCCCGCTCAGCGTTTTTTTACCACAGTGGCGGTTTGCCGCTGTTGTGCAAAAGTGACATCAAATTGCTCACGAATGAGCAAATGAACATACTGATCTGCAGCTTGTTTGTACTAAAATCGACATTGAGCCGCGATAAGGGCTGCTTTTGGCCTATTTTTGGATGCGCAATTCGCCACTTGCCGTGAGCCTTTTTGACGTATACAAATGGCGCTGTGTGAATCGATTACTTTCTCTCACCAAATTGGCTTCGTGTTCGCGTAAAAAGTGAGCCGCACATCTCCGCTTTAAAAATCTTTGACGTGGAACGGGAACTCGGTGATCCGGGGCATCACGCGTGATGGATCACATCGTAACTTCTCGTACTTATAGACGAGAGTGTATACAGACGGTCCTTTAGGTAGCCGTCCCCTTTGCGGTCTTGGACTTGGTGCTCCGCCTTTGCCTCTTAAGATGGACACAACCGATACGGATGATAATCTCAGATCCCTCATCTATAAATCGGGCCAGTTTGGTGATTTCGCCACATCACAATTCGTTGCATACATCCTCTGGGGATAAATCTTTTATAAAAAAAATCCACTTATTGAGCTGCGGACTTTTTTTCTTTTATTAAAAATCCATTGCAGCCCAATAAGTGCTTCCACCTGGGGATATTTACATCTCCTGGGAATATTTCGGCAGTCTAGCTACAAGTAAATAATTTTTCTTCTTGCCAAAATTTTGTTAGGATTCACCGTTTCACACGGCGAGCGTCATGCGGTGGTGCAACGTGATGAGAATGTCCATAATAATTTCATGACCATGACATCGCGACTTAAAGTCACCCGTCTCCATCGACTCTTGCTCAAAAGATCGCGGCACTACATGCAGCTCGTATCTACGATATCACACACAGTCGCTCTAATAGATCCTACCGGAACAGTTTTCGGGAAGCTTTACAGCCCTTGAAATTTATGACACAAGACGTACAGAAATCGTATTGGTAGTTAGTGTGCCTCCACATACTATCCCGCGTTTCTTATTGCCATGCGTCTTTTTTAAATACACGACACTACTCATTCTACCATAACTTTACAGGGCGAGACGTTTGTTTGATTGACCAATTACCTAAAATATGCCAATGTGCCCCCATTTTAAAAATAAAAAGTAGTTCCTTTAGAGGCTGGGTTCAGTCAATCATGACCTCCTCGACGTACGATGATTCCAATTTGATACGTCTTGGCCGCTCTGCGCATACTGAAGCTCAACTTCTTCCAACGAAAAATTTCTGCGACACTGCGTGGAAGCTCGACCATTCGTCTCTTCCAGCTCAGAAATATCTGACCGCGACATTGCGAATATCACAATACTGCTTATCAGCTAAGAGATGGCCCTCCTTCTTTCCACAATGGTTCAGGTCAGTCGCCTTTGGCGTGCGCGAAGAGACGCCGCTTGCCGCGCTCCAACCGGCCCGATTGACACAGAAGTTGTGCTTTGTATTTAGTATGACACCACAGCATATTTGAAACAGGTAGGATGGACGCAGAAGGGCTAAGTATGAGCTGTACCTTAGTTGTTACGGTGACAATTACCGATAGGGTCTACCGCTCGTGGCAATGATTGTTCTCAAAGTTTGGACATTGACTGATAAATCTCGTTTTCCTTGACGGCTGGACAAGGAAGAGAAGGCACACGGCATGCTAGTTAGGCGGAGTGTGTAATCGCGATGTCTGTCGATCTAATCCTCCCCATGTTGAGGATGTGTCATTTACAAATGTATGGCATGAACGTGTTCTTTCTCACAGGCCGCTAGCGCGCTGTGCAGTATAGCCGAACTCAAGACTATTATAACAATACTAAATAGATTTCCTTTGCCTCTACCATTTAAAAGCTGGATGCTTAACAAAAGCACTTAATTAGATATATATCTCAAACAGTATATAATCCCCAATAATCAAAGTAATATCTTTATTGGAGACTCATATATCATACTTCGTGTTCCATGCGATCTTTTCAGTACTTCGATTTCGTACTTTATCAAATCCCCTACTCCTCCCTTTCTCTATAAAAAGCCGTTAACTTGGAGCAAAACCCCGAGCTAAGCTTAGCTCCCGGCGTTGCTGCATCTTTCTTCGGTTTGTTTCACTTCTACTCTCCTTCCCAGCAAGCTCACTCGACGCGTCTCTTTCCTACGTATCTGATCGCGTCAATTCTACCGCCTAAATTCCTCTTTCAGCTTTGAAATTTTTCATTTTAAAACCATGAAGTGGCTTCGCTCGGCTGAGATGGAGTACATTTCGCTCATAGTAAATGAAGATGCAGCTCATGATTGCGTGCAGAAGTTGGGCGAACTCGGTGTCTTAGAGTTTACTGATCTCAATCCTGAGCTTACGCCGTTCCAGCGTCGCTATGTGAATTATGTTAAACGTTGCGACGAGATGGAGCGAAAATTGCGGTACTTTGACGTAGAATTGGCGAAATTCAGCATCACACCGAAACCAGCGGGTAGTATCGACCGATTCCTTGCAGGTTCAGCGGATATTCGATATGGATCACAGGACACTGCGACCAGGGCGTTAGATACGCTTGAGCGACTGCTGGAGGACAAGGAACAGGAGCTTTTGCAGCTCAATACTATGCACGAAAAGCTTACGCGTGAGTATAATGAACGCAAAGAGCTACAAGAAATTATTCAACGCGCAGGCGAATTCTTTGAGATTGAAAGTACGTTGTATTTGTGATATTTGTTGGTTTTTGGCAATTTTGTGACAAATCGTCTTTTGATAGTCCCGGAAGTTCAGACACGTCGTAGCTTTCGCACGACGTCGAGATCTGGCTACAGTTTTGAAGATGTGTCGACTGTTAATGAGGAAGAATCGTCTACGTTGAGGTTTCGAAATGTTACGGGGGTTGTGCCTGCAGACGAACGACTGAAATTTGAACGGATGATCTTTCGTACAACTCGTGGCAATTGCTTTACGCGGTTTTCACCTATTGAAGAACCTTTAGTGGATCCAACGAATGGCCAGCCGGTACTCAAACATGCATTTGTCATTTTCTTTCAGTCAACTTTCATTGAAACCAAGTTGCGTAAAATTTGTGACGCTTTCCATGCACGACTGTACTCTCTTCCACCTATGGAAGATCGAGCTGCCATTGCCCATTTGATTCAAAGTAATGCTGGAGAATTGAACCAGAGTAGTCATATCTTACGTCGCAATCGAGAAAGCTGCGTACTGCTTTGTCGTGATTTGGCCGAAACGCTTGAATCGTGGAAATGGTCGGTTCTTCAGGAAAAAGCCACGTATCATGCATTGAACATGTTCCGAGCGGATGTGAGTGGTATGTTGCGTGCAGAAGGTTGGGTGATCAAAGAAGCGCTTTCGAGTGTTCGTCGTGCGGTGACGAGAGCTCACACGGCGGCGGATGACAAATCAATGCCGTCTCTTGTGGATACAGTTGCTAAGCCGTGGCCGGTTCCTCCTACGTATTTCGAGACGAATAAGTTTACGGATGCATTTCAAGCTTTTGTTGAAACTTACGGCTGCCCTCGATACCGTGAAGTTAATCCATCTGTGTTTACAGCAGTGACGTTCCCGTTTCTTTTTGGAGTCATGTATGGCGATATTGGACACGGTTTTTGTGTCTTGCTCTTTGGACTGTATTTGATTTTAACTGAGCAAAAACTTGAACATCCTGGAAGTATGGGTGAAATGATGGCTTCGATTTATGGCGGACGATACATGCTCTTTATGATGGGAGCATTTGCGGTTTATGCAGGTTTGATCTATAATGACTTTTTCTCACTACCGCTTAATCTTTTTGGCTCGAAGTTTGCGTATCCCGATTGCCTGGAATCACACGATCGTGAACAAAAATGTGTGGCGCAATATTTTATTGACGGTGAGATGACGTACGTGAACGCGACGGACGTTTCGAGTGGAGATAATGTGTACGCGATAGGATTGGATCCGATTTGGAAGACATCTTCGAACGAGTTGTTATTTTTTAACTCGTTTAAGATGAAAATATCTGTCATTTTTGGTATCGTTCAGATGACATTTGGAATCTTGCTGAAAGGCTGGAACAATCTATACTTTCGAGACTATTCGACATTTTTCTTCGAATTCGTTCCACAAATTGTGTTTGCTGTTTCGCTCTTTTGCTACATGATTGTATTGATTGTACTGAAGTGGAGTATTGACTGGACTGAAAGGATGAAGCACGAAGTGTGTCCTTACAACTTTGCGGGTGAACACACTGGCTGTCGTCCACCTTCGCTTGTCAACACGTTAATTAACATTGCGCTCGCTCCCGGCAGCGTCGTGGATCCATTGTACGATGGTCAATTGAAGACGCAGCAAACGCTCTTGATGCTTGCGTTTGTGTCGGTACCCGCTATGCTGCTTGTCAAGCCTATTTATTTGAAGATGCAGCACGATCGTAAAACTCCATCTGTGAACCATCACGTTGACTTTGACGATGAAGCAGAGGAGCGTCTTGTATCGCATCAACATGGCAACTCGAGTGGCCACGGTGATGAGTTTGAGTTTGGCGAAGTGGTAATCCATCAAGGTATTGAAACGATTGAGTTTGTATTGGGAATGGTTTCAAACACGGCATCGTATTTGCGTCTCTGGGCTTTAAGTCTTGCGCACTCGGAATTGGCTACTGTGTTTTGGGAAAAGACAATGTTGTCGACCATTAATAGCGATTCATTCATTGCAATCTTTATTGGCTTTGCTCTATTTGCAGTTACAACGTTTGGTGTCATTCTCGCGATGGATGTGCTTGAGTGTTTTCTCCATGCGCTACGTCTGCACTGGGTGGAGTTTCAAAATAAATTTTACAAGGCAGATGGACACAAATTTCATCCTTTTTCGTTCAAGCAGTCGATTAAAGACTCACAACAGCTTTAAATTGCAATTGAAATGTGGAAGCTGTTGTGGATATCTCGATTATCGACCTAAAGAAGGAAAAATGACATTAAGAGAAGATTGAGAATTTGTAGTGCATACTAGAAAGATGCATTTCTTTTATTGCAATATCGTTCTTAGCTTAAAATTCTCGTTTTCGATCGTTACTTTCCAGCTTTTGCCGCTTTTCTTTCCATTTCACTAATACAAAATTCATCCACATATCAATAAATTGCTACAATTAAAACATTTATAAACTTACATTTGCTGGTATTGTTTGCGTAAATTACTGCTCGCACTAAGATCCATTACGCGCTCTAGCGCTTTAGTGTCTGCGTACAGAAATCCAACTCCACCTCCAATCAAGACGCCACCTGTAATAGCAAAAAACTGAACACGCTTTGGGAATGGTCCTAGTGCTAAAAAATTTACAGCACCACTATGAGGAGAGAATGTGGACATATAAGTAGGAATTTTATTTACCAGTGATGCCTGCAAGCAGAGCAGCACCCAATGCACCGCCTACGCCTGAATAATAATTAATTTCACTTCGTCGTCGATCGTACCAAACTTTCTCTTCCAGCGTAAGGCGCGGCGATGATCTGGCGGTCTCGGTCATTTTGATTTGAAGTAACAGTTTAAGTTGCACTGCTCAAATAATCTTTGCAGCAACTTCTATACTATTATAGGATGTGCTGAATGTGATAACTTTCAAATCCGAATTGACTCGTGATCTGTTTACGGATACCATAACTAGTTACAGAAGGTTTATACAGTCTTTAGTAATACAGTGACGTAGTAAACATGAAGAAAAGTGGAGATGAAACCAAAATTTAATAAATTATATGGTTCATAGCCTATATACCCTTTGCTTCTCGCTCTGAATCATAGTCGTTGTTCATGCGAGTAAAGTATTTTGCATCCTGTGATTGAGGTTGCTGAATGTAACCATAGCCTGGGTGTCGCTTCACCACCATAGATGACGTTGGAGTCTGAGGGGTACGTGGGTTACAAGCCGTGGGTGTGACAATCTGTCCTGCCGGCGATATCGTGGTGATCTGGTTTGGATTCGTCGAATACACATCCATCAGAAAGTCCATCGATTCGTCAAAGTCTGGTACTCCGGGCTTGACTTCAGTATTGGTCGTACCCCACGATGCAGGATATGAAGCATTACTAAGGAATGCATTGGAAATTGTAGACGTGCTTAGCTGGTTAAAGTCCGTATTAAATGAAGCTGACATGGGAGTAGATGAGTACGTAGTAGAATGATGATGAAGTGACGACCGATGAAGAGGCATAGCTGGCAGAGAAGAAGCTCGAGACAGTGGGATCGTTCCCATTTGTGCTGACACTAGATGAGCCGGATTTGGGTTTATGTAACCAGGGTGAGGGCCATGTTGGTATACATGGGTATGCGTATTGGTGTAGGGATGGTAGCCTGCCATACCTTGAAACGACATTGGTGGAGTTTGTAGGGTACCATTGCGATTACGAAGACCACGCATACGTCGCGCAATCTTTTCGCGGTACTTTTGTGCGTGCGTCTGCGTTTGACGCACAGTGCGAGTAGCCACCATCTCGGCAATAACCTTCCATGGACCTTTTGGAAATGTTTCCATTGCACGGAGAAAACGATCGTGCTCGTCCTTTGTCCATGTACCGGATGCCTTGATGACTTCTCCGTTCGTGTCAAATTGTTGTTGCTCGCGGTCGAGAGACTCGGCGACACGAACCGTACCGTCTTTGACGATTAACAGATTCTTTCGGTCGAGCTCAAGGATGGGTGATGTTGCGAGATCAAGGCCATCGACGTCGCATTTGGTGCTTTGATGCTCAATCTTCCTTTCCTCTGTGATGCTTTCGAGCTGATGGTCATGAGCACGCACTGGTTGTTGCTCTGCCATACCGAAAGACATGGTAGATTGATAGATTTTCTTTTATTTATTGGCAACGTAAGTGTCTGCCTTTCTACCGTCGTTCAGCCGTGAGGGAAAATGAAAATAGAGTAGATTCGATGATCTGGTTTCTACCAACAACGCAGGACGAAAAATGTCGCTGAGTGGTGTTGGTGGTCGTAGTCGCAAAGAGTGTGAAGTCGGCGACTGGTTGATAGTCAGCAAGAGTCTTCTAAAACTTAGAACGGGATTGGCGCTCTAGTAGTCAAATTTGAAAGTGAGCAGCTGGATATGAATTTCCCCTTCTCCTCTCTCTTTTAGTGTCTGGTTGCATTGGTGACGACAGCCGTGATATTATTGCTGATAGCGCCGGACCAGCTGGTTCGCATGGCGTGAGCGCCTTTGCAGAGAGTCAATTGCTCTGTCTATGATTTTGCTCCGACCTCCAAACGATCGTCGCATTGAACGATGTGCTCACGAATTTAAAGCGAGTCGGACTTGCTGCCAGTGAAAAGGTCCGTCTTGATCAAGTCAAGAAAGATTAGAAAAAAGGCGATTTTCTTGAAGGTCAACAAAATCCACCATTCGTAATGTTTGAATACTCAGTCATCGCACTGCCCCAGTCTCGTTGGACAATATTATTGTCAGAACAGCAATATTTACTGACCGCATTGGGCCAAGGAATATGCTAGAAATTCTTCTGTTTTGCACAAAATCACACATCACCATCTGATCTCGTGGTAACGAAAATGTCAATCGAGTACCACGTTGAGACACCACATAGACAAGGCGAGTGATTACAGCTGTGTTGGATACGGTCGACCAGACAGAAATACGTTTTTTTGTTGATTCTTCTCCACCCATACTAAAGTTAACATAACGTTATCTTATCACATGTCTGTTGGCGTCGGCTGGCGCCTCGTGAACAGCTTTTCGTGTGCTGCCAGATGTATCACGAAAAGTGGACAATATCAAATTGTATACAGCTTTTCTCACTGTGTAGCATAAGGTTCGTCCTTTAAAGAGTCGAACGTTTCTGCTGTTGCTCGGCATCTGCTTGAATAACAGCTCTCTTCATTTAAGCTAAGTGCCAGTTTACGAAGATGGGCTGCTCGCGCACATCAGGATGGAAAATCCATTTCGTCCAAAAATGTGACACATTACGATAGCAAGAGAGTCTCAACGCTTGAGTTGTCAGCTGTCAAGGTATCTTATTCCGACATAGATGATTTTATTAAAAGCTTTACTCTTTTGTTCAGTGAACTAGTCAAACCACGGAGCCAAGATGTTAACATGAAGCTTCGTCCCGACGCGAGCAAATTGATGCCATGTTATCGCTACATTACGCTCTCAGCGACGATTTTAGTGTTGTTGACGGGCAAACAATTCCAGAAAGTGCAACATTTTCCAACTTACTATCCTAAAATTTGTTGAGCTCTTACCAAAAACGGCACTATCTGGCTTTCTGTGACTACAGTAGCATCGCCATTTAAATAATTTTCATCTCAGCAAGAATAAAATTCATTCTAAGCGACTGTTTGGATTACCGTCTTGAGTTTTCCAACTCAATTTACGCTAGGATTTCCCATCGTAAATGCACAAGAAGTTTATGAATTTCCAGTTATCCCATCGTAAATGCACAACAGATTGGTCAACTAAAGATTCTTATTGCTTCAGATGGTAACACGTTCAAATCGTTGGTGCAAGTCACTTACCTCAACGTACTGCCCGTTCTGCTATAAAGATTTCATAGAATGAGTACCATATTGTGCTTATCAATCGTGCTAGAACACATGCCGTGTATTTTGTAAGATATTCTTGATTTTTAAAGATGAGATCAATGCAAGTTAAAGCCACACCTTTACCATTATAGGGTAGATACACGCGGTGCTAATGTACTGCTCCTCTACATCTCGCCATTGTCGTTGCGTATCAATTGATTAGTTTTATCAAACTCGATTATTCTCACTTAACGATCTACGAAGTAGAAAGCTTGTGCTCTTCTGAGGTATGACATACATACACAATTATTGTATTTTCGTCATAATCTCGACATCAGTATACAACTTCATGTGGAAATTCAGTACTGTGAGACTAAATACTACATTCCACAAAAAGTTGCTCATTTAGGGTGCTCTGGCTGATCTTCGACAATCAACAAAAAACTCAGTTTTCTAGGTATCACGTCAGATTCTTAGCGCTCTTTCTTATCAATTAGCAGCAACAAAGACGTGATGATAACGGCCACTCTTTTACGAAAGCATGAAACACATACCACAATCGTCTAACATTTGAATACTTACGCCAAGGTGGTCGTGACTTGTATTGCATCCGAACGTCAGTCAAATCTCTATGTATCCAGTTGCAAAAAGAAAGTATCACTTATCATTAAAGTTTACAGTGTCATTTCAAGTACGTTGAAGTGGCGGTTTTATTCCGTTCTCGAGTGCCATATCATGCTCTATGTACTGACAGATCAATCATGCATACATACAGTACAAGGCACCACGACGTAGTGTGTCTGTAAAGCACGTAAAGCAGACGCGTATTATCGTAGCAAACGAAGAAGAAAGTCTTCTAAAGTGAATTGCAAAACAAATATTATAAATTATAATTGAAACGAAAGCAATATGGCGGGACGTCGAAGGGGCAACTAAACCTAATGTTATATAATAAAAACCAAGCAATAGTAAATCAAAGTCAAGTGATTTGCTTGAAAGCATTGTTACAAATCTTTCTCATTTGATTGAGGACACAACATTTTTGGTTGCAATCCTCTCTTTGACGCATAAATTTAGGGTTGACTCTGTATCATAATGGTTTTACTCGGCTTGCGTAGTTCTAATTTGTCCCGCAGCTGGTAATTACTATACTGTCAGGCGTCGAATTTCAAAAATTTGCACGTCTTCGAGAACTTGCTTTGTAGTTGGTAACCCACCAGCTGCACAAGCTTTCAGAGCAGACTTCTCGGTGGAAAGCCAGTGAATTCGCTCGCACGAAAAGCTTTGTGATAGGAGTTCAAAAAACTGATACTCTAGTGGGTTGCGGGAGCGATACGCCATCAGCACGAGCGTCTTAGAACAAGTTGCCAACGCTACTAGCGAAGACACAAGCGGGGCATACCCTATAGGATCGTATACGACATCCGAGAGCACGATGACGTCTGGTTGCACTGGCAAATTACACGGAGACTCTCCCCAATGATGCGCTCTTGCTATAGGAGTAATGCCGCCTTTACCCTTGTCATCTCTTTGCCCTTCTTCACAATAATTTAAGCTTATGTTGTACTCAATCAATGGGATTATTTCCTATGAATAAGCAAGTGCAGAGAATAAGTTAAACGTTTCATTCAGCTGCATCAAATATTGTTTACTTTCATATCCGTTAATGTGACATGTGCTCCCAGCAGCGAACAAAAGATCCCAACAAGGCCCAGTCCACTGCCTAGCTCCACAACTTGTTTGTTCCTGATAAGATCTTGTCTTGCCGCGAGGAAACGGGTCAAGACCAAGCACGAGTCCCACAACTTTCCTCCGATTCCTGGTGTTTTCATTTGGCAAGATTATTGGCGATTACATTCAAAGAAACGATAGATTTGCACATACCAAGATTTCCAGGTGACTCAGCAAGTAAAATATCCTGCGCTACTCCTGGAAGTTTCACAGTTCGGCAGCAATGTACGCCTAGTTGTCCAGTGACTCCCTCTTTCGACTCACCACCTTGAGATACAATAAAAAGCGGTAACGAAACTACAGGAAGCAAGTCCCACTTTGCACGAATCGATTCGTGTGCCTGAATCTCAAGAGCAACAGATTCAAGCGTACTCGCTGATTCCATCTCATCGCTATTGCCGATGGCAACACGAAAACTTGCTTTTCCATGCTCATTTAGTTTCACTTTACCATTTGCATCTACTGTGCATGAATTTATATCATCAAGCACATCGAACGGCTCTTCGAACACTAATTTGTACTTATTTGTCGATTTATTTTGCAATGAACACTGGAGATAGATCGGTTCCCCTTCTTTCACATATTCCCTTCGAAAAAGTCCAAATTCATTACCAATATTAACAGCAACGTTAAAAAATTGGTTTGGTGGCACTTGAGATGGTAGCAAACATCTATATCAAAAGGTAAATAGTTTAATATTTCTACACGAATCCAATTGAATATATCGATACGAACCCGAAATTGATTCTCAATTGCTGTGTGTCGTGCACCATCTTGCCCATTTGCTTGACTTCTTCAGCAGCCACTTGGCAGTCCCTGGCCAAATTCTTGTGCAATCGACGACGTGCTATCACACAATATTGAAATAGTGTTCGAGCATTCCTTTTACCACCATCCAGTACATTGTTTACTAAGTGCAGCGCGGCCTCAAATCTTTCAAGATTCTCGAGCGCTACAAGTTTGCGCAGTAAAGCCTTTTCATTCTCTGCGTTGTATCTGAGCGCGAGCGTAGCGTCTAAATGCATTGTCACATTAAAGTTATTTCTTCTACAAACTAAATTTGATGGTAGATGAAAACAAGGGACCCTGTAATGCGGCAGCAAAATTGCGTTCTTGGATCGAAGTTTGTGCGCGATTGGAAAGCAATTGCGAGGCTGTTTGAGATTCCCACGAGATTGTATCACCATTACGTGGGTCGCTAGATAATACATTATTATCGTGCGCAGTTAACAGAGTGATTGCTTTCGTGTAGATTTCACGCGCGGCTTCGTAGCGGCCGTCGGCATAGTAGGCATTACCCTCGGCCTGTAGGGCCTTTATCTTGTCGAACATTTTTTACAATTCATCAAGACATAACCTTTTTAAAGCGATATTTATTGTAATTTTTTTGCTTCATTCTGCTACTTTTGAAAAGAACTTAACATTTTTAATGTTAAGTATTCCGAATTAGTAATAAGCTTTTATGCATAAAGTTTGTGTAAATACAACGTCCGGGAATCGAA